GAATTCCGAAAAATTTCATGAAATTTCATAGTGTAATTCCGAGGAATTTTTGTTCAAGAATTCCAGTGAATTTTATTGTGGAATTCCATGAAATCTTATGGTGAAATATTTGGAAAATATGAAATCTTGTAGTAAAATTTTTAGGATTTTCCGTTTTTCTATTCAAATTTACCGTTTGAATGGAATTTCATAATGTTTCTGGTGAAATTCTAAGGAATTTCTATGAAATTAACTAAAATTTCCACGGAATTCCCATGGAATAACTTGAAATTTTAATGGGATTCCGAAGAATTTCATGAAATCTCATAGTGTAATTCCGAGGAATTTTTGTGCAAAAATTTCATTAAATTTTATGGTGGAATTCCATAGAATCTTATGATGAAATTCGGAAAAGTATTATGAAATCTTATAGTAAAATTTCTAGCAATTTACTTTTTTCCATTCAAATTTATTATACTTGAATGGAATTTCGAGGAATCCCATAAAAATCTTCTGGTGAAATTCTAAGGAATTTCTATGGAATTGACTAGAGTTTTCGCGGAATTCCCATGAAATAACTTGAAATTTTAGTGGAATTCCGAAGAATTTTATTAAATCTTATATTGTAATTCCGAATAAAAAAAAATTCCAAGAATCCCATTGAATTTTATGGTTTGAAATGTGACATGTGAAGTTTTTGCGGATTTTCCTTTGAATTCACATTAAATTTTTGTTTCTATCGAATTACATGTAATTTCGAGAAATTGCATAAAATTTCAGTGGAATTTTGATCGAATTACATGAAATCCTGAATGCGTTGCATAGAGGAATTCTAAACAATTACATTGAATTACACCGAAATTCCCAACATGAAATTTCAGTGCTTGGTAAATTACATTAAGAATTTAAAAAAAGTTTCAAAAAATTACATACGGAATTTTCGTCGAATTATATGGAATTCCGATGTAATTGCATGGAATTCCAAGGAATTGTCAGGGAATTACACGAAATTTAAGTGGAATTTTGAATATTCCTTATCGTTTCAAAACGAGGGGTACGCAAATGTTAAAAAAATGTACACCAAAATTAATTATTAGGGTATTTAAAGGTATTTAAATGCTATTTAAGAAAAAAGTTTGGGACACGACGCCGAAGGCGGAGTGTTCCATAAGGCGGAGTGTTCCATCCCTTTGAACAAAATAAAATCACTTTCAGCACGAATATCATACACAATTTTTTCTACAAACGCACTAAAAGTGGTTACTTTTAGCACTAGTGCTAAAAGTAATCACTTTTAACACCAGTGTCATAAAATGGCATTTTAGACACTGACAGCATACGTTAAAAATTACACTTTTAGTGACGTTTGTAGAAAAAGATATTTAAATGAGTATTCAAAAGTATTTTAAATATAAAAATAATCAATTTAGAGGATCCAACCGAGATTTAAAAAGATTTAAATTGTATTTAAAAGCAAAGTGTACACCATATTTAATTCTCTGCGCACCCCACGTTTCAAAAGGAATACCGAAAAATCCTAATGTTATTACATGAAGTTTTATTTTTATTCAAGGAATTTCCAGTTAAAAACATGGCATGTTAGTGAAATTAAATTCCGGAAAATTCCCATCGAATTACTGAATTTTGATAAAATTAGAGAAAATTTCACAAGTGGAATTCCGAGGAATTTCCGGCTAAAAACTTGGAGTTTCGGTGAAATTTGGAAAAATTTCCATGTAATGATATGAAATTTCAATATATTTCGGAGGAATTTCGGTGAATTTTCAAGAAATTACTTGAAGTTTCATTAATATTCCCAAAAATTCCTGACTATTGAAAGGGAATTTCAGTGAAATTCCGAAAAATTCTTATGCAAATAAATGAAATTTTGAAAAAAAATTTGTAGTTCCATTGGAATTTCGAGAAATTTTCGACTAATAATGTGGAATAAGTGGAATTTCAGTAAAATTTCAAAAAATTCTCGTACAATTTTATCTTAAAGGAAATGTCAGTGAAATTCCGAAAAATTCTATGAAAATTTTGTGGAATTCCAGTATATTTCAGTGGTGAAGTTTTGGGGAATTTTAGTAAAGTTTTAAATACTTATATATATAGAATTTGGAATTTCTATAAAATTTTGGAGAATTTCAGTGGGATTTCGAAAAAAAAAAGAAAAATGAAATATTCGCATAATTTTCATCAAATTATATACAGGGTGTCCACTTGCTGCGATATCGGACGATATCTCCTTACAGGGTGATCCAAGAGAAAAAAATTAAATTACAAAGTTGTTTAATATGCATTAGTTGAAAATATTTTTGAATATACAGGGTGTTCCGTTTATGAGGTATGCGACAGAACTTTGTTATTGTATATGGAACACCCTATATGTGATTACATATTTGGATTCTTCGTAAAATTCAGAGCAGTTTTCATGTGATATACCTTTTACCTAAGTTCAACTGTTTTGGAAATATTGACAGTTGAAAATTGACTTTTTGCAACTTTGACACGCTGTAAAACCTAAACGGTTAATTTTAGAGGAAACCCGATTTTACATTCTCATTTCAGATTTTCATAAACTATCATTTGATACCAACTTTGAATTTAACCAGAGATTAAATTTAACTGGAATTTTCTTGCATCACCCTGTAAGGAGATATCGCCCGATATCGCACTAAGTGGACACCCTATATAATTTCACTTTGTGTCGATTTACATAAAATTTCGATGAAATGTCGAGTGAAATTCCAAGGAATTATTGTGGAATTCTAGTGAAATTACATGGAATCCGAAGAATTCCCTTGGAATTAAACAGAATTTCCGTGGAATTTCCATAGAACCACGAGAAATTTCGGCGGAATTCCGAGCTAAATTTTAGTGAAATTCTGAATAATTTCGGACAAATTACATAAAATTCTAGTGGAATTCCGAGAAATTTAATGAAATCTTTTACTGTATTTCCGAGGAATTTTTGTACAAGAATTCCATTGAATTTTATGGTGGAATTCCGCTATAGCTCAATGATTGAGAATACAGATTTTTCCAGTCTTATAGAGCAAAACCACACTTATTATATAATCTGGTAGCGACCAGAATCAATACAAACTCATCGTGTGAGTTAGTACTTACTTACTTGGTACTATGATTAATCACTCTTTTCGTAGAAACTTCTTGATCTGAATTTTGTCAATAGTGAAATTCATTACAATGATATTTTTTCTAAGTACTGTCTAAGATCAACAACAATAGTAGATATCAAAAACCGATAAGCAACCAAAAACCAATAATCAATATCAAATTATGTATCTTTGAAAATTCCTAATGTTTACCTAGAAAAATTACTCACACACAATGGCAGTATTTATTACCATCAGCGAGTTAAATAACAACAACAATAAATTACTGTAACTGATTAAAGCAGGTAGGGGCCCTAGAACTAATAATAAAACGTTATCGTGAGTTAGTAGGGGAACAAACATTGGGCAACCATATTCCAATTTGCTGTATTGTTTTTGATAATAGTGCGATAGTGAGCAGCGTTTACGACTCGGGCACTACTACCGTCATATTTTTTTAATCAAATAGTGTCAAGAAATATGGATAATACAGAAAAAGTGGATTTTTGATGGTGAGTAGAAAGTTATAGGAGATTCCCAGAAGTTTTTTGATGATGCGTTTTGTAGAGTTAGGTATCTGCGACCATTTTTGTTTTTCATATGTTTTAGCCCATGTAAATTTTTCAACTATTTTGTGTGTTCAACTCTATTTTCATTACGACTTTTAGTTCAGCATTTACAAATTGTCTCCTCGAATTTTTAATTCATTATTATCAATTCCTACTCTTTTCTATCTTAGAGTAGTATTCTCGTCTGGAATTCCTCTAAAATATTCAGATTCAGAATCTAACAGTGCTCTTAACTTCAATCAAGAAAGTTTGGTAGTAACTGCCATGTTTTCAATAGCATCAGGATTCATTGTTACAAATATTTTTAAGATTGCCTCCATAGACTCTCATAGCTCATGTTTTCCAGACATTACTGTCTTAATCAGACCACTTGGAAATTTTCCTTACTCAACTAAAACATCTAGAAAGCCAGAAGCACTCATCAATTTAGCTAAACACTCAAAATATGAACAGATAGTAGGAAAACCTCCTATCTTGGTATTCCTTGATATTTCTGAAACCCATTCTGACCATACGTTCTCGTTTTGTTGAATGTTGCTTTGTATAATGAAAAGTCAAAGATTTCTCTCAACAAATTTGACAAAACATTGCTTAGTTCTTGGTACATCAGTATCAATACCATTACTTCTCTCTCAATCATGATCCCATGTGTTGAATAAGGTGTTCTACTTCCCCATGAAGTCTTTATTTGATGAAATCATCGGGGAACGTTTATAAAACCACTAATTTACATAAGATTTGATTATAACTTTTTTTTGACAGGTAGACAAAAGTTGTAGCAAATATTTCAACCTACAGAGAGGAAACAAATTTACCCTTGTTTCTAAGTGATTCTAGGTGTCTCCTATGATTTTCTAGGTATTCCACTACAAAAATTCACCTATTTGTTTTTCCCAATGACCTAATATTTTAACATCACGACAAGAATGACAGAGTGTTCTTTGACACAGTATTATACAGTCAGGACCAGGCTACTAGACACACAGGCTTCATTAGAATCAGTTGACTGATACCCATTTCACTGCATGTTATTTAAATTCGTGCATCTTCGGCAGCTCGGCTATACTCGGCTTCGGCAGGAGCGCCTCGATTCACTTGATCTGGGTATAAGCTAATTCGTCTTATTATTCTCTGTGTCTAGTAGGTAAGTCTGGTCTTTGAAGCAAGATTGGGAAGATGCGCAACCTTATGTGACAGATGTTTTCTACACATATTTTTGTAAAGAATTACATTTATCTGTAATATTGGGTCATTGGTTTTTCCATTTTTCTATACTATTTTACTGTACCTCCAGTACTTCTTGTACTGATATTTTAATTCAATTTTCCCGTAGGTATTTGTTTTACAGCAGTGTAATTTCGGAACAAATCTCTTGGAAAATTAAACAAAAAATAGTGCCATGAAGTACTACTACCGTCAGTGTCGTGCGTGTTATTAAATCGAAAAAACAATTATTATGTGGGGTTCCAGTCATCAATTGAAAACCGCCAATATTACCAGGCACCCGTCGACTCTCGAACCACCCAACAAGGGCGGTTTTTTGGGGGGTAATAAAAAGTGGAATAGCAGACCGGCCTCGTGGGCGGCTCCTGTCAATGTAAATATTTTCCCGCAGGAAAGGAATAATGGACATTCGCCACCTTTGAATAGAAGATTTGCTTCTGTAAGTTTATTTTTTTAAATATTGTTTAATAATAATGGCTAATAGACAATAAATTAAGATTATTGTTTACTTGTTGGAACACAACTGTAACATCTGCACTCTAATTAGTAATTATACTATACATATCTATTCTAATGGTCAACCTTTTATTCTTTATTGTTAAAAATTGCCAATAGGATATTCATATTAATTTTTTTTTCCTAGATTTAAAAGAAATTTCCACAAATGTTGCAACGTTGCATAATTATTTTATCGTGTATTTTGTTTGCGTCGAACTGTATTTCTTTAGATTTAGGAAATTTTTTCCATAGACATTTTAAGAAATGTAGCAAAATCCTCGGCAAAATCGCACTTCCACCGACGTGCCAAGTGGAAAGTTTCAAAATGTTCAACTATACTAAAATCCATGTTATCAAACACACCATTTTTAAAAGATAATGTAAATAATCTCTCACTGTATGGTTTTTCATTGGACATTTTTGAAACTTTAATATAATGAGCAATTTTTCCCCCAATAGTTTTATAGTAAAATAGTAAATTATATTGTACAGTGTGTATCAGTCAAATGGAATAGGCGTGATGACAAATTTTGAAAAACTATCCTATAATGTTCGGAAATGTATATTATTCACAATGAATAACATATTTCTGCAGATAATAAAGGTTTCAGTAGAAAAAATTACATTTTAGTTTTTATATTCAAAATTCGCGCCAAAACGCTTCTCAGTGTCATGGCGTCATTCGTGACGTCACGTTTGAGTAAAAAAAACCTAAAAGCTCATTGAAAATTTGAATAATAAGATATTTTGTGTAATTAAATATGAATTCCAAAATGTACAAGTGGTGTGCGGTTCCTCAGTGTGATAACACATCATTAAAAACTCCTGGAAAGTTATTTGCCTTCGTTCCACAAAATAAAACGATAAGGGACAAGTGGCTTAAACTTGCAACGCGAGATTCAACAGCAATATTGCCTAGAACTTACCTTTATTTTTGTGAAAATCCTTTCAACGCAAGTATTTAATTTACTTCGTAGATTTTAAAATAGTATGTATCTTGTTTGAGGTCTAAAAATATAAAAACAATCTTACTTAGATAGAATTTTTATCATTTCTTGATTCTTTTCTGCTTAATCTTTGTTCCATGACTCGCGTTATTTCACTTTTGATTCAATATTCGGTATAAACAACACACGGTATAAACAAAACTGAGTCGCAAATTAAATCGCAAGAAAATCAGGGAACCAGTCGTTTGTTAACTGATTTACTCAAAAGTGACGTCATTCGTTCTGATTGGCGTTAAACATAATATGGCGGACCTTCGTATTTTGCAGTTTTATTTCATCAAAATAATGATCAATCTGGCTCCTAATAAAAAAATAAATGCGTGTTTCGTATTCCATGAGTTAAGTTTCATCAAGTGAAAACACAATTCAAGTGATTTTCAATTACTGTCATCATGCCTATTATGGAATAAATAAATGGAGGCCTTTTCGAAAAAACGCCGGACACGTCAATTTTGTTTTTTTGCTTAAGATTTTTTCACACCAATTTTTTTTTATATTGGTTGTTCGAAAAACATCAGCTTTACCGTTACCAACCCACTGTATATTATAAAATTTCTGGATTCTGCGGACAAATTTCATGTACAATGTCATATACCTATATTCAACTGTGTCGGAAATATTGACAGTTGAAAATTGACTTTTTTGCATCTTTGACAGACTCTAAAACCTAAACGGTTGATTTTACAGCAAAACCGGTCATACATTCTTGTCCTAGTTTTTCATAAACTATCATTTGACACCTGCTTTACAGCTTGTCAATGTTTCAAAAGTCAATTTTAGGCTGTCAATATTTCCGAAACTGTTGAAGATAGGTATATGACATTGTACAGGGTGCCCCAAATTCGAGGGTGACCATTGAGATATCGGAAACTATAAGAGATACGAGGTCGGGTAAATTATGGCAAAGTTGCACAATTTTATGACCAATATAACGCCGTTTTGAAATTTGAAAAATTCCGGATGCTATTTGAAGTCTTATTTGAAGAGCAATTTTAAAATAAATGTCACTTCATCATTGTCACTTTTTCCCCTTTACAAGATGTCGCTACCAAATTTTAGATTCGACATTTCGTCTTTGGGCGGCCATCATCAACTTTATTTTTTTAAATACGGATCTGGATTTTTTATTTCAGATTTTAATAGCTTCCGATGTCCCAAAACCTATGACGCATTTATTCGAAAAAATATATTCTTTTACTTTTCAGTAATTTCCTCCCAAAATTCTCCTCTCTGTCTTATGGAAAGTGCCAATAATATAAATTTTTCGAATAATATAGAGATGAGACGTTATTAGGGATAGAGAAAATATCTTTATTCGTTATAGAGTCCCAGTCCTGAAGCTCTAGAAATCCGAAATAAAAAGTTGAGGATGACCGCTCAATGACGAAACGTCGAATCTAAAATTTGGTATATTGACATCTTGTAAAGGGGAAAAAGTGACATTTGTTTTCAAATTGCTCGTCAACTAGACTCAAGAAAAAATAAAATGGATTTTCCAAAATTTCGTTTTTTTCCGAATATCTTCGGAAGTAATCGGAATTTTTTAAATTTCAAAACGGCGTTTTATTGGTCATAAAATTGCGCAAATTTGCCATAATTTACCCGACCTCGTATCTTTTATAGTTTCCGATATCTCAATGGTCACACTCGAATTTGGGACATCCTGTACATCAAATACATACCTAGGCCTATGCCTAGAATTTTCCGCAGTATCCAGAAATGTCATAGTATACAGGGGGTACCACTAAATAAAATAAAGTTAACGACCGTAGAGCTGTTGAGACACCCTGTTTAAAAAAATTTGTGTGAAAAAAAATCTTAAGTAAAAAAACAAAATCGACGTGTCCGAGCGTTTTTTCGAAAATTTCCCCATTTAAGTATTTATTATCGAATTTATTCTATCTGGCTGATACACACTGTATAGTGGGGATCTAAAGTCCCTTCTTCCCTGCTAACTTCGGGATGCACTCTGGTATTTACTTGAAATTTACAGGTGAGTTGGTGAGTATTAGGGCCGGTTTCTCAATAGCAAGTCACCCCCAGGGGTAAAGCATAACTCAAGGGTAAACATTGCAACTGGACACGTTTACCTTTTTTTTCATAGAGGGGTTTAGAAAATTTGTCTGCAGACTGTCCCAGGCGTTGTTGTTCTGGTGCCATGGGGGTGTGTCAGGGTGGTGTCCTGTTTTGAGGATCACCGACCGACTAAAACCCTTTCTCCTCTCCTCCCAACTACTTCGGAAATAGCCTCTACGGGCTTGCCGTCGAAGTAAAGTTTGTCTATGATTTATCCCTGAGCGTCCCTGTCTTCTGCTGCCTTTGTCCTCATTATCTTGTGTATATATTTCTTCCCTGTGTCCCATTTTCTTCTTGATGTTGTCATTTGGTCTAAGAGTGATTTAGTGGTCATGCCATCTATGTCTAGGTCTATCATTACTTGCATTCTCTATACCAGCCATCTCTGGCATACTGTGACTGAGTCCACCTCTCCGCGGTAATCACATCTGTCAGCGGTCTTGCCTATTCTTTGGGTGTGGGTCTTGAAGGACCTGTGTCCGGAGAGTATTTGAGTGGTGAAGTAATCGATGTGTCGGTGCTCCCAGGATAGCCATACGCTTATATCTGGTATCAGGTGTTTGGTCCATTGTCCGTTAAGTGTATTGTTTTCCCACCTTTTTTGCCATCTTTGAATCTTCCTCCATCTTTTTTGTCTCTGAACTGATTGCTCTTTCTGCCACTCTATCGATGCATGCCTGTTCTTCGAGAGTCAAATCCAGTGGTGGTATCCCAGTAATAACCTGTAGGGCTACGTTCGACGCGGTGCGATAGCTGCCCGCCACCCTCAGTAGGCCCTTTCTCTGAGAGCGCTCCATGATCTCCCAGTATTTTCCTATGGTCAGTGTTACGTGCCAGATGGGTGCCCCGTATAGGATTGTGGACTGCATCATTCCATACATACAGCATTTTCCTTTTAATTGTTGTACTTCTTCAACGTGTCTCCTAGAGGTTATGCCTTTCCCTATCCATATTTCTAGGTATTTGATTGTCTTGGCGTGAATTATTCGCGCGCCACCCAGGTTGAAAACTATGTCCTGTTTGTCTCTTTTCCCACTCAGAATCACTCGGTTTTCTCGGGGGCGAGGGCCAGCCTGCTTGTCCCCATCCATATGTCAATCTCGTATAGCGTGTCGTTTGTCCTGTATATGAGTTCGTGTCTGCTTTTTGCGTTGACAATGACGGCCAAGTCGTCAGCGTACCCCTCCCAGATATTGTAATCTGAGGATTGGGTCATATGGGAGGTTCCACAGGAGGGGGCCCAATACCGATCCCTATGTGGGATTCCTGCCGTGACTTCCATTTACTCCTTGTTTGAGCTTATTCGTCTGTGCCTGAAGTAGTCTTTAATTATATTTACATTTACCAAGTATCCGGATATTCCTCTGTTGCTTATGTATTGTTCCACGAGGCCGTATTAAAATAAAAACGTTCTTGATGTCTAAAGTTACTAGTACACACCACTTTTCTGTGGTGGTTTGTCTTCTCGTTTCCTCTGCAATCGCTATGACCTTTTTCACCGCGTGTATTGTGCTTTCGCCTTTGGTAAATACGTATCGGTTTTTTGACAACCCCCTTCTGTCATTTATCCCTTCTTCTAACCTTTCTTTTATTAGGTGCTTCGATAATTTTGCCAGTACATTTAGTGGCTGTATACATTTTTTTCCGCACTTGAGGCATAGGTCTGACCTGTCTGTTGCAGCTTTTTATCATGTGGTCGTGTGCCCAACATTTATAGCATCTAGATACTCTAATCCTTTAGTCCATACTGCACCAGGCATATCCAATCCTTATTTCTCCTATTTTGCTAAGTTTTTCAACAAGTTCTTTGTTAGCATTCAGAGTGATTGCCAGGGTTTCTCTCGCGTTTAGTCTAAAG